GCGCGGGCATCAAGAGACGCGTTGTTTGATAAAATTGCTCTACCGTTCTATAGCTATTTTGACAATAGTTTTTAGAGGTAGAGCACCTTCATAAACTTTCTGTTAGTTTATTTTTAAAAAAAGATTACAGTTTTATGAAATGTTTTATTAAATGTCAATAATACAAGGACAAGAGGTGGCGTACAAAATTATCAACTGACTAGCTTTCGCCCGCTACTCCGTCCGCGTGGATTTTAAAAAAAATGAGTAGCCCATGTATTCTTCCAGACTATCCTCTACGTTTATGTCAAATTTCATCGAAATCCGTTCAGCCGTTTAGGCTACGAACTCACACAAATATCCATCCATCCATCCATCTAAACTTTCGCATTTATAATATTAGTATGAAGTATGATATAGTACCTTTTAGAGAAAGTACCGGTGATAAAATTTAAGTAACTCACTTAGTCTATATATTTTGTAACTGTATTTGATTCATCCATAGATAAAGGTAGAAAAAAAATTAAAATCATTCTTTTACATCTGACTTGGAGTATTTAGTCCCGCGAATTCATTCCACTTACACCGAAATAGAGCCATTACGGAAACGAAACTTTTTGGTTATCTCTTCAGCCATTTATGGACCTTGATTTATTTAGTTTCGTTAACGATATTAAGACAAAAAAACCACAAATAACTAGTGTTAGGGTATGTACTAAGATACTTAGGGACACCATGTTTGCTCAGGACACGTTTCCTCGATCTCGCAAACAGTTTCAACTACTTTATTTCCCTCGAGAATGCCCTAAGATATGTTCAAAGCTATATGGACTGCGACAGACACAATATTTTGTCGTGACGTAATCTTTCGATTTAACCTAAACGAGTTTAGGACGCGTACTGATCCGTCATTTTACAATCTAGTCATAAAATCAAGTAATTTTGAACTGTAATGTATTCTAAATACGCTCGCATTTCTTGTTTATGTTGAATTAAAAATCACATAAAGCATAACAATAAAAATCAACGATTTATTAATAACCATCTTCAGTATGTTACAACACATGACCGTCACTAAGACGACATGTGGGGTGCAACTGCCCCCGCCTCTATGGAATTTTAAAATATAAAATACTAGCTTTTTCCCGCTACTCTGTTCGCGTGAAATTTAAAAGTAATAAAAAAGAAATAAAAAATAGCATTTGTTACTCACAGATAAATTACCTTTCTAACGGTGAAAGAAATTTTAAAATCGACCCAGTAGTTTTTGAGTCTATTCATTACAATCAAACAAAGTTTTCCTCTTTGTAATATTAGTATACTCGTAGATAGAAAGTACTTCAAATAAAGCCATAATAATGGTAGATACCCCTAGACCTAAGATAATTCCTCTAACTTACGTGTCATAACAAATATTGCATATTAAATAAGAATATAATTGAATTCCTTAAGATCACTTCATATTTCTCCATTTATTTACGATCCAGTAAATAAAAATTTCAACGTCAACATTTTCACCTCGTCAGTTCACAAAAGCCCCTACGTCCTACATGTCAAGTGCAATAAAACTACATGACAAAGGAATTATATTTCGCATTGTTATATTTAAAAAATGCCGTCCATTGTTATAACAATTCAATCTAACATTGTGTGCGTATCCATTTTATATTTACATTGTTTAATTGAGGGAAAGGGTAACCCTTAAGTCGAGTTTTCAATCTAATACTAAGAGCCCTTTGTCTGGATGTAAACATTTCCTTACTTGTAATATATATTAAGAAGTGGAAAGGCAAATAGAACGATAATTACGAGAAAAAAGGTTTTGTAATTGTCCGACCAAAAGCGACGAATAGTCATCTATACTTATGTAATAAAGTGGCTTTGTTTGTTTCTTTGCATAGGTTCTGAAACTACTTCTATATTTACATCAAGGGAAAGGGTACATAACAGAAAAGGTATAAAACATATATTTGCCACCCAGGCGAAGCTGGGGCGGTTCGCTAGTACATTGGTTTAATATATCCTAATTAAACATTTTGTTTGCTACATTAAAAAAAATACATGCTTTAGCTATTTTAGCAAATCATTTTTGTTTTTTTCTTACATTAGTGACCCATATAACCGTAATATCAACATTATTGTATTCAAAAATAACACGATATGTAAGGATAATAAAAAAACAAATAACGTCTCTTGGGAAGCTAATTTTAATACTCATTTGTCAAAGTCACGTTCGAGCCGCTGAAGTACACTCTCCCGAAATATGTTTTTAAGCCGCGATATTTGCGAAATAAAAATAACCACATTAGAAAAGCCTTTGTCAATTTCTCTGGGTTAACTTTCTTAGAAATAGACCTTATTCAGTACGATTTTCAGCCAAAAAAATCGGTGAAAGGCGTTCAAAACTTAACGGTTTTATTTTAAAGAAAAACAATAGTTTCATAAATGTAAAAGCTTAGATATAAATTGGTTTACAGGCATTCTAGAAACCTGCCAATCCACTTGGAAATCAAGAAGTCGACCAAGCAGTAGAAATTTAAAATTTTACTAATATTATAAATGCGAAAGTATAGATGGATGGACGTTTGTTAGCATTTGTAGCCTAAACTGCTGTACGGATCTCGATGAAATTTGGCATAGATGTAGATAGTCTGGAAGAACACATAGTCAATTCACTTTTTTTTAATTCCACGCGGGCGGAGTCGTGAGCAACATCTAGTATGTAAATAAAATCAGAAAAATTATGAACAACGAATCGGATACGTCCCACTAACGTGAATCTACATTTCACCAATATATTTCACAATTTCATTTCCCCCAAGGAGCCCGGCCTATTCCAAAGAGATTTGAATATTTTCCGCCGCTGTAATTTTGTGCGATGCCACTGAGCCTATTTCAGTTTTATTACATTTAATATTTTGATCATCGATTTTTTATAGAAATTAAATATAAGAGAATAGAATATTATGTTAGTGGATAAATTGACAAAAGATTGGACAGTTATTATTTATTAAAACTAATATTATTTTTCTTACTTGACTAACCGTCTGAAAACGAAGATGGCAGTGCGTTTTAAACAAGATGGCCGACAGTGGAATCCCTCTAACATTTCTAAATGATGAAGAACAAAATGTAATGTTGTCTATGGTATTGTCTCGAGATGGCATCGAGTCGTGAATTAAATCCGGTTACCGGAGCCCGGCGGCACTGAGCCGTGCGAAGGATATTAATTTAAAAACTCATCTTTCAAAGTCACGTAGCTCGTGAGCCGTCTATCTTACATCCTCTACTCTCCAGAGCTGCTTCATGCAATTTAATTACGATACAATATTTCCCCGACGTACGAGTAACACCTTATACTCACTTTCAAATATTAATCTAGATACATTTTATAAATACAAAACCTTTTTATGTTTACACAAAACATATTTAATTTATATTGTTATTGTTAGTCTTAGCTGTAAAGATAACTTCTCAACCACAGTCTTACATGCAGTCATCTTAATTACTTAATAGGCCAAGTAGTTAATTTTATTATCTCACTAATATTATAAATGTTAAAGATTAGATGGATGGACGGATGTTTGTTAGATTTTCTAGCCTAAACTGCTGAATGGATCACGATAAAATTTGGCATAGATGCAGACAGACTTCCAGACCGGAGGAATAAATAGGCTAGTTACTTTTGCTTATTTATATTTCCACACCTACGGAGTAGCAGACAAAAGCTAGAACGAACATATTTTTAACAATGTACCTCTTACGTGTTACGAGTTTCTTTAGTCGTACCTTACTAAAAATACCAGGGCATTGTCGAATCGAAGGATGCCATCAAAACGATACTACACCCGGCAAGACGGTATAATGTTGAGAATAAACGCGCCAGTGCTACATTTATAGTGTTGTTTATCGTTTTCCGTTTTCATAACACTTTACATAAATAATTTGAAAACTACCACAACTTGAAATGCAACATAAAAGATAAATGTTTTTATGAGAATGGTATTTCCCATTGTAACTATACATAACGTATTTTACTAGCATACTGACGTTGGTTTAGAACGCCGAAACAAATCCAGAAACATGTAACTAAAAACGTCAATTTAATTAAATATTTTCAAAGTGCTGCCTTTAAAATATTTTACGTTAAAACTAACGGTCGAATAGAGCACGCAATTGGCAATATGAATAAATTTTGCGAACTAACCCAGAGGCTCGGGTTTGCAGTGGCTGGTGTGAGTCCCTCCACAGCTCACAGTTCATTGACCCCGACCCCCGCATATCGCGGCCAGTACTGTAAAATAAAAACGCCCGCCGACCACTGGCCGTAAAAAATGCACCACCGAAAATATTTATTCTTTTTAAAATGTGCTACGGGCACTGCGCTACGCCTTTCAACAGCGCAATTCCAGTAAGGACGATTAAATGTTTTCCCTGCTTTAAATTGTTACTTTCAAGTGCAAGTTATGCGTTCGTAATTAATTTAATTTATCAAGTTATAAGTTAAAAATCGAATTTATTGTATTTTAGATTTTAGTAAGTACATTGACTCATTAGATTTTACGTCAAATTAAACATATTTGAAAATCACCCAGTTATATCTTATTAATATCATAAATGAGAAAGTTTAGATGGATGGATGGATGTTTGTTAGAGTTTGTAGCGACGGATTTCGATGAAATTTGGTATAGATGTAGAGGATAGTCTGGAAGAACACATAGGCTACTTATTTTTGCTTTTTTAATACCACGCAGAGGAAGTCGCGGGCGAAAGCTAGTTTTTAATAATAAAGAACCCCGGACATGGTACAGTGCTTTAAATTACAAAACAAATCGCTATTTAGAATGCAAAAGACAATTACTTCATTTGTAAATTATTGAGGGTAGTTTGAAAAAAAAAATATAATAAAACTCAGTTGCCTTTTGATCAATTTTTTTGTACACATTATTCATTACAAAAAAAAAAAACAAATTTAACATTTACTTATTAACAATAATACAACACTAAATAATAATAATTGATTAAATTGGAGCTATCTTAAATTTAAATACTGTACAATTATATTTACACAATTCATTACGAGAATGAAGACAAACGCTTAGCTTCAAATTGTTTCAATTCTTAACTAAAATAAAATTACATGTCATGAACCTAAACTGGCATAAGTATACAAAGGCACAGACAGAAACTAGATTTATTTCAACGCTAAATCATATTCCTAATATTAGAACATTACCTTTGACTAAACTATTGCACAATTGTTGCCCGATTATCTATTGTTTCGCAGCCAATTTAATTTTAAATTCACATAAAAATCGAGTAGTGTGCGCACCTCCATATAACCTCATAGGAATCAAAGCAAGAGTAAACAGTTGTATGTTTAGTCGAAGGTGTACCACTCTTGCTCTTTTCAAATATCTTGGATTTTGATAGCCCACAGTCACTAAAGCACTGCCTGCACAGTTCTTCGTATCCTTTACGCCCTATGCCTTACGATCTCCTGTCGATAATATAAACTAGGTCAAGGTTGGACAGCTTCCATAAGCCTTTTTAGTATTTCCACATCTCATTTTTTCTCTACCTCTGTCCTATGTTCCCTGACGAAGCCAATGAGTACTTTGTCAGTTCAATATTGGCTTCACAAAGGAGCACTGTATCTGTCAATCATTATGCAACTTCATAGGGTCGGTGAACTGAGCTGTTAGGATGTAAAATAACGCTGGAGCCGGTACGAGAGATAAATACCATAATTCCTTGAAACCAGTTAGTGATAATATACCATAAGCATGTACCAGCCAGTGTCCGATAAGTATGACTAGGTTTCTAGTGTTTGATATAGATGATTTTAGTAAAGCAGGTGCTGATTGGTCGAGCTTGATAGAGAAGTGAGATGCAGATGTCATCATAGATATTATTATCACTATGTAAGGGAAAGAACAATCTGGAATAAAAAATCAATACATTGTAATCTACAGTTGTTGATTGATCTAGTAATGAATTCTAGACAAGTCTAAAGAATCAAGACTTAATCCTACTTATTTCACCAAGTCACTAAGGGGACCAGGGTATGAACAAGCAATTTCCATTAAAGAAAGGATTATATTTTAAGTTCTCGGAATGTGAAAGTGGAACTCACATAACTATGTCATTATAAAATAGTTACAAAGTATTTTAAAAATAATCATAAATCTTACATATTAATCCTGCAGCAACTGTATGTATGAGAACAAGTATTGGATAAAAATATAATGCACAGTAAATAGCCTTCTTTCCCGGATTCAAAGTATACCAAGTTAAAATCCACGGCCTCAATAAAATGGTCATCAATAAACTGAAGGCATATATCAATAAAACTACTGTGTACCTGAAAATTGTAACAAAGTTTTGTTTAAGTTAATATTTTATATTTACAAGCAATGCTAAAGAATTAAAGTTAAATTAAATAATTAACTGTCTAAAAATTAAAAAATACATGAAAATAACTAAGTAAGTTGACTATGTGTTCTTCCATGTTTTACATCTTTGGCATAGTAGAAAACATGCATATAAACTTCGCATTTATAAAATTAAGTATTATTAACCACTTACAATGGATACACAGCCTCCTGTGTACAATGCAGTGTTTCCTTATAATCAGGTTGTGGATTGTGCAGTAGTGTGTACCAATCAGACAGAGCTTTAGGTGTACACACAAACAAAGCTATTGAGCCTGTTGGAGGTAGTATTAGCAAAGCAGCTAGTGTGCCTGTCACTATCTCTGTGAAGGCACAGATATGTTGTGCTATTACTCCAGATTTACTGAAAGTTAAAATTTGCATTTCATTACTGCTGAAATTATTTTTCGACTCATTAGCAACAAATAACCAAATATAAAAATTACCTTTTTCCGATCGCTACCATATCAATAAAGAACCAATGCAGTACCAAAGGTAAAAGCACCATGAATCCTAGATACTGCCAATCATAAAGATAAGGCTCCTCTGTACATGGAGTGCAGTAACTTGTATCGTTTGTGCGAAAACCTCGGGGACAAGCACCACATTCACTCCACACACCATTACCTAGGTCAGTCCGTCCGCAATACAAACCAGGGCAAGATTTCACCACCGACATCTTAAAAACACATTTAATAATATATTTAAACTTGTATATGATATTAAATTCTATTCATACTACAAAAATTCAAAACAATCATTTGACAATTGAAAACTTTTCGTGACACAGGATACTTTGACATTTATTTCGTTGACATCGTTTTTTGACACTTGCACTATTTGGATACTTTTATAAATGCCCTGCCTTTATTCAGAACTATCTTTTCTATATTTCTGCTTTGTTATTAGTCTGTAATAATAATTCTGTTTTATTATTATTAGTTTATTAACAATTATATTGTAATCCTTTGTGGATTACATAACCAGATTCTGTCCCCTTGACGTAAAAAGACGAGGAAGATGCAATTTTCAAGTTATACCATTCATGAAATAAAATAAATAAAAAACAAGACTCCATAGAAACGTTTTATTACAACACACAAACATCATAAACTTACATACGATGAACCGCAAAATAATCAAATTATAGCGCTTTATATTTTCCTTCCACAATAGGTTTTCGAAGAATTCGCAAGCGCAGACGTCTCATAATAAAACAAAGACTTTTGTACGCTAACCATATTCCTATACAAATAATAGTTAGGAAAAGACTAATTATATCTAGCATATAATATTTGAAGAAGGATATCTCTGCCGCGGGAGCTCGTAGTAACCGAGCGCCTCCATTGCGTAACACGTATTCTGTCCACATAACAGCAGCTTCCGGGCCTGATAAAAATGAATCAAATGCCGCGCTCTTCAAATCTGCCAAAGCTTCTTTGTACCTGAGAAAATAAACACGTATCTTGATTATTACTAGTATTCATTAGGATTCATTTTAACAGTAACTAATAAGAGTACAGTATCTACCAAATAATTTCAATTATTAACGAAATTTAAGCTATTTATATTTTAGGAATAAAAGAACCTTACTTATCATTCTGAGCAACGGCCGTAATCGTTGCCTTGAGTGCTTCCTTTTCTAAATAATATGGATCTACTATTTCCCCAGTGCCATGTCGAGTTACTTCATTTATAAATACTTTTGAAGATTTGACTATCGGAAAACCAACAATAGGAACTTCGTAAAATACCGCCTCTTCTAAAGAACGTAGTCCACCGTGTGTTATAAAAGCTTTTATATTTGGATGCGCTGTAATTCAAAATAGTAAAATAAATTAAAATAGTGGGCTGCAGTCAGTATCATAACGGTTAGTTGAGATACAAATTCAACTTAAAAATTAGGATTTATAAATGATAAATCGGATAATTTACCCAATACTTCTTGTTGAGGGAACCACATTTGTGCAATCACATTATCAGGTTTGTTTATGATAGTCGAATTCCCCAGTTTCCACAGCACCAAATACGGGAGCTCTCTAAAGGTATCCGCTAGAACTTCTAGGATTTTACGCTCTAATTGTTCTGATTCGTGCAATGTTCCTAAACTGAAGTATATAAATCCATTTTTGGCAGAATCCAGAACTGCTTTTAGATCCTGGAATTATAAACACCATGTTAATTAATACATATGTAAATACTTGACCTCTGATCCTTACAGTTATCAATATATTAGTCTTTTTTATGACTTTTCAGATTCAACGCTTGACCACGATCCCACGAATAGTTAAGTGGTAATGTGGTCTTAGGATGGTTATTTAATAATTAAATAAATTTTGGAAAAATTAATCATGCCGAAATATTCGTGTTGATTTACCAGTGGTAATGGTAATCCTGGTCTAATATGTAATAGATCTGTATAAATAGTTGCTGGCGCAGTTGGTCTGTTTCCTATCAATACAGGATTCGCAGCTACGAACAGGAGATCAATGTCGTGTTCCACTCCTAGAAGACTCCTTTCCAATCCAAGAATTTTCTTAGCAGCAACTTCACATAACGGTAGGAAGTAATTATAATATTCATATTTCGAATGATATTGACGATTCACTTCGACCAGTTTTTGCCAGCTAGTGATGTTTCTATGATGAATCGTGTTAACATCAGGATACAATATCGGATGTATCGGGTTGCCTTTAGCTTCGTATTGATGAAGTTTTCCACTGCTGGATGTGATTGATATATGCGGTGCATTATATTTGTCTGCTACAGCGTACAATATTGGCATATCCGCTTCTGTGATTACCAAATCGAACTTCACATTGGGATTCATAAATAGAGAGGTCATCTGTTTAGACATGAGTTGTGCTATCGCTACCTTTATCGATAGCTCATTTAAAGCTTTCAAACGTGGATAATAATCATCGGTGTTAGTCATTAACATTTTAAATTCTTCCCACAATGGCGCTGATTCCGGTCCAACGTTTAATTCAACTATCTTCTCGACTTCTGGGTACTGGAAGTGGCCTGGGTACGGAGTCATTACTACCACAGAATGTCCTTTCTGTGCAAGTAATGAAATGTATCCTCGGTACACAAAATGATCAGTAAATGATAAGGAAGAAAACAATGCTAGAATACTTGCAGATTGTACATGATAGAAAAGTAAGAACACCACGTACACTGATTTTAGCCACATTTTGGTAAAATATTACGTTAGTCTGCACTGCAGTAATATCTAAGGTGTATTGCACACCGTTAAGTAACATAATGTAGAATACGTGTACCCCAGCTGAATAAATAACCTATAAACTTATGTACACACAATGTTATAGCAAGGCCAAAACCATTACTATTGTTAATCTTTGTACCTATTTATTGAAGTCTACCAAAATCTTTTTGGTGATCCATTATCACCCGACCGGGAAATGAGTAATGGGTGTGAATTTGATTTGCCCAAAGGAACGTTTTCAGGTTTAAATAAATGCTGCTACTAATACTCAAGAATACTTTATTTTTTACCTATATAACTAAATGAAATTATTTTAGGTAAAATCAAAATCAAATTATACGATGTGATTTTAAAAAAGAAGCCATTCGACAACGGTAAAAAATGCACAAGACGAGATGCATGTAACCATAGCAACTTGTTCACAACAAATTGTCTTACACTGATACATTTTACAGTTTTCTTAAAATTTATATGAATATATTAGACATTCTTAAAACGAGTTCGATTATGGAGAAAGATGTGGCTAATTACTCAGTGGAGGGAAGAATCGGCGAGGGAGCGCATGGTCTCGTGTTCAAAGCAAGACATCTACCAACAGGGCGCGAAGTCGCGCTAAAAAAGATCTTGATAAAAAACCTCGAAGATGGAATACCTATAAATGTAATGCGTGAAATTAAAGCTCTACAACTACTGCGATGTAAATATGTTAGTATATTTATAAAGGGAATAAGTTTTTGTATAATGTTGTTACAGATATAAACACAAGTTAAAGCTTGTTTTATCTATTTCCAGATAATAAAATTATACGAGATGTTTCCACGAGGTATGAGTTTGGTCTTAGTACTGGAGTACATGTGCTCAGGTCTATGGGAGATGCTGCACCACAACCAGCAGGAACTGACCATCCCACGCGTGAAGACATACGCTCAGATGTTACTCAAAGGAACGCGATATATGCATGCACATTATGTTATGCATAGGGTAATTTTCAAACTACTAACACTTCGAATCAATACGATGACTGTCTTTTTAACATAGTAAACACCATTTTCTTGAATGTACCAAAACTAATAACAGAAGTGTAGCCTATGTATATTTTTCAAGGACTTGAAGCCGGCTAACTTGCTTATAAATCACGAAGGTATTTTGAAGATAGCGGATCTTGGTCTAGCTCGGCTGTACTGGCCTGATGGAGGAAGACCGTATTCACATCAAGTAGCTACACGGTCGGTTTTCTACTATAAAATGAAGTCTTATTGAAAACTTAGGTGGACATTTATTATTGTCAAATTAACTTTGATTTCAGATGGTATCGTGCTCCAGAGCTATTGTACGGCGCTAGGTTCTACAGCGAAAAGATTGATTTGTGGTCTGTTGGCTGTATAATAGCGGAGATGATTACGAAAAAACCACTTTTCGCGGTAAACTTTTCAAATTATAAAGCTTTATAAACATTTTATTGCTATTTTAAAACAAAAGTCAACATTTAAAACCACTTCGATTTTATGTGGTATTTAACGTGTATAAGTAAAACATTAGTATCGACGAAATGATGGGGACATAAACCAGAAAGTGTTGAGATTGAATGTGGATGGCTACAAAGGAAGAGGAAGACCGAAGAAAGTATGGATGGATTGTGTGAAGGAAGATATGCTTAAGAAAGGAGTGGATTCAGATATGACGGCTGATAGAGATGTATGGAAGAGCAGCACATACTGTGCCGACCCTCCATAAGGGATAAGGGCAAGTGGATGATGATGATGAAGTAAAACATTAGTATTTTCTATTTAAACTTACAGGGAGAATCTGACATTGAACAGCTGGCGATAGTTCTCCAACATTTAGGTACTCCTACAGAGGAAACATGGCCTGGACACTCCAAACTACCGGATTACCATAAGATCACCTTTCCAGAGTCGACGCCAACGTCTTGGACTGATCTCTTGCCCGGAGTTGAATCTGAGGCGATTGATCTTGTTAAATCATTCGTATTGTATAATGCTGATAAAAGAATATCTGCTAAAGAAGTAAGTTGTTAAATGAAATTTATAAGGAGTGATAATAACATATGTTTCTTTAACTGTAAATAGTTTATTTTTTAAGGCAGTGCTAGTTATTTCGCTTCATCACCATCACCAGCTCACTAAACGTCCCCACCGAGGGCCTCGGAGCCTACCCTAATATGGGGTGACTAGGCCATAGTCAACCACGCTGGCCAAGTGCGGGTTGGTTGACTTCACACATATCTTTGAATTTCTTCGTCGATATGTGCAGGTTGCATCACGATGTTTTCCTTCACTGTAAGAACGTCGGGTAAATATTTCGCTTATTACGTTTAAATTGCAGGCATTGAGGCATCCATGGTTCCACAACAGGCCATCACCTGCTGCTATTGAAGATATGCCAAAACCGAACATCAACAAACCGAAATAAAAATCATTCCATTTATTCCAATATTTTTATTCCCATGAAATCACATAACCGCTATTGAATTAATACAAATTAAAACTGTATATTATTACAAATGAAAATTGTACTTCGTTGACATTTGAGCCAATAATTTAGTTATAGCTTGCATTTTAAAGTAACACATAACTGTTACAGGATAAACAGAGATGACAATGTTAACCCCACTTCAATAATCGTCTTTAGTTGTTTGGAGAAAATTGATATTTTGCATTTTATAATTAAATAAAGAACAATTATTTGAATTAATTTACACAGTGAAGATAAACAGAAAAATAGTACATATTTTAAGTTTCAAATTACTTATAAAGAAAATGGTAAAACATAAATTTAGTTTAGTTCAAGAACCACAAATTTTATTGCCTACATAATGGCTAAAATATGCAAGGCATTTTTGCAACAGTTTTTAAAAGCTGGCAATGTCATTAAACTGTGTTTGACAAAGGTTAACAATGTCCTGTGTCCTGTTTATTTTAAATAAAAACCTATTTAAAACATAAAAAAACTTTTTCACCAACCAGTCCCCAAAGTATTCTTAAATAGACTTTCAGTGGGTCTCCCTGAATGTAAACCAGAAATATGAATTTACTTTAATATTGGTGAAATTTCAATTCTTACTAGAGACTCCCTAAAAACTTAAGGGTCCCCTAAAAAGGAACAGTTGGTTAAAATGGCCATATGACTAAGAATAAACTATAAAATTAAACTAGTGGTTTTATAGATTTAAATTTGTCAGTAAAAATTATCTTTTAATTTACTATACAATTATAACTGACATAACCCTTGAGTTATTTGGAAGGCTTTTTTGCCAGTTTGTGATCAAATACAGAACCAAATACACATATTAACTAGGAAGGCTAGGCTAGGTTAGGTTAAGCTAGGCTATAAAGTCGTTTTAATCATAACATTAGGAGATCATAAAAACTAATTAACCACTTCCACATTATACAAATGCAAACATTTCCTACAATATACATGGAATATACAAAAATATTTACAAATGAATCGTCTGAGAGCATGTTACGAATTTGTCTAAATAAAATGTTTATAAAAATAATGAAATTTACAATTTAAAAAAGTTATACAGATCATACCCATGAGTTTCCACTGCATAAAAACTTATTTTTTCTTTCTTTCTCAACATGTTTGTACAGGTGTACTTTTAAATAGATAGACTTACAAGGATCATATGGCAGTTGGCAATATTGTGAACTAACAATGTCATCTTGAAATTTTTTGACTAATGAGAGAACGGCAACTCCATTTTTAATAATTTCGAAATTACAAAAGAATAACAGATGTGCTGATGTAATATGTACTTTTGTTTTCTGATAGCATAAATTCGATGTGGGCAAATTGCGAAAGGTGGGATTTATGAGCTTCTTTGAGTGAAACTAGCAGGTCATTGTCATAAAATTGCCATAAGATCCTTGTAGGTCTATATGTAGTGGAGTTTAAAGTGATGTAAAATGACCAAACAATATATTTGAAATGAGATATACCTACTTAGAGTTTTGACCAAATTAACGTTAATGCAAAGAAATACATATTATAAAAGTTATGTGTCACATTTACATTTGGTGTTATCAAACATTTAAATTACTAATTTTATTCAGTTTAAAAAGAATGGTCCACTTTATTGAATATTAAAGAAATATATCACCTTACGCTTGTTGAAATCAGACATTTTATATTCTAAATATTATATCAATAATGTTAATTTTTAAAATTTCTTTCATCCCATCTTATGTATTCTACATTGGGGCATGCATAAACATCCCTAAAGATATAATCAGAAGTCTTTACATAACATAATTCTATGTTTTTTATCAAATAAATATTTTCTTAAAGAAAATTAAATTTACAAAGCGCCTTATTTAGTATTTAAAACACAGATTAAAAAGAGTAAATTAAATGTTCACATACCCTTTACTATAACCACAGCCTTTACAACTAATTGGCATTATAGATTTTTTTACATTATTCTAAGTAATGTAAAGAGTTGATTGTTACAAGATTAATGGTTACTTCCTGAGGTTTTTAATACCTACGAGTAGAACCTCGATAAGTTAAAGTCCAAGGGAAACACAAAATATTTTAAGTTATAGAGGTTTTAAGTTATCAAGGGTCTATGTTATAGAGATTTAGGGCTGTGATAGGAAGGGAACATATTATTTTTTGAAGTTATAGAGGTTTTTAAGTTACCGAGGTTTGAGTTATCGAGGTTCTACTGTATTTTGACCTGTAAATAAACTTTTACCAATAAAATATTTGTATTTGTATTTATAGCATAGTTACGAAACTATGCAGTACAAGTTAAAAAACACATTAATTTACGTTATACCATATCAGTAAACCCTTTTTTCCACAAAACAAGTAGACTTCCGACTCTTGCAGTCATTAAAATTAGGTTATTTTATGCTTTTGGACATTAGGAATCATTATTTATTTTTATTTTATTTTATTTATTATTTATTGAGGTAAAATGATTTGATTCTGTCCACTATAAAAGCAATCTTTACTATTAAAAGTAACATGCATTATAAAGAAATACTTCAATGTTTTTTTATTAATAATTTTTTAAATGATATTCCAATTTTTTTTTCTAAAACTCTGTAATTATTTATGGGTGATTGTAAAGATGCAATATATATTGAAAAATATGGCGACTTCAATTTTATTTCTCTATACATTTTTATTTTATACATGATTTAACAATTTGCAAAATTTGCATTTTTCAGTCAATCGCCTGATGGTTCTGCCTACACCAGTTTATAACCCTTAGTTTGTGCAATTAAGCTAAGCATATATCTATTTACATATTTACATTACTCTATAAGAGCAGTATAACCTCTAATAAATATGAGGTAATTGTCTTGTTTTTTACATTTTCCTCTAAAATACTTTTTATAAAAATTTACACTAAATTTTACTCACTATGGTATGTGAGAATCTTACCGTTGTTTCTAATACAAACTAAAACCTATTTCTAGTTCTCTTTGAATGAACTATAATGAAATGTCTTTGCAATAGAAACCTACATTTAATTTATATTTGTTACTAGCTTTCGCCCGCGACTCCGTCCGCGTGTAGTTAAAAAAAAGCATATCGCCTATGTGTTCAGCGCGAAGGCGCGAGCAATAGTTTTCTATATAATGACATCTGACATATTTTTTATAGAAACAACAGACAACAGCTGTGAGTTTAATATCCTTAAGATGCTCCTTAAGTGTTTCAGTATTCAGACATAAGTGTCGTTAATTGGTCACATATGGATCCTAAGGGTAGATTATTCAAACTAATTACACTTAAAGGACCCACTCAGAAAATTAGTGAAATTGTACCCAAAAATTGTAAATCCAAGTGTAATTTGGAGGCAAATCATCATCATCAGCCTTCATCTGCCCACTGCTGGATATAGGCCTTCCCCAATGCCTTCCACAGAATGCGGTCCTCCGCCTTCCGCAAAAGGCAAATTATGATGTAATTTTATTTTTATATTAATTTCTAAATGGTATTAAAGGATTTCAATTCAAGTTAAGTTTCAGGCTGGAGGCATTTTTAATATACTCAACAATAGAGGCTTTAATCAAATTCACAATTTCACTATAATACATAATGTACGGTATATTTCTAAAATTAGGCAATTGATATAAATTATATTAATAAATATTATTTATTTAATTTATTGTTGACAGCGCTCGACTGTGATCTAAACTAAGCTTTTTACTACAACATTCTACATTGCCAATATTTTTAATAAGACAGTCGGTTACTTTGAATACAAACTATTTGACAAATCACACTAAAATGATATATCAAGTACATAAGATGTAAAATAACACTCACATATTAAGTCCAATTGTTTTGAGCAGTACCGGAGCAGCATAGGGCGCGTTTGGGCGACCGCCCTGGGCGCCTGATAGGTGTGCCACAGGGATAATTACACTCACATAACACTTTTTATTCTCCTAGTCTCGAAAAAGAGGGCGACGTAGAAATTTTGCACTTTGAAATCCGGCACTGAATTTGAGTCCAGTTTTGAGCGACATTTAGTCAGTCACTGTTGGTTGGTCATTACCAGCCACATAAGATGCTCGGCGGTGTCCAGGTCGGGGGGCGTGCCTGCGGGCGGGGCGTACAGGTCTGGGAGTGGGGCGTTCGGATCGGGCTGCAGGGCGTATTGGTCTGGAGGTGGAACGTTCGGATCTGGCGGCGGGGCGTACGGGTCGGGGTGCTGGTCGTACTGGTCTGGTGTAGGAGCATACGGATCTGGGAGCGGAGCGTATTGGTCTGGAGGCAGGGCATACGGGTCTGGAGGCGGGGCATACGGGTCTGGAGGTGGGGCGTATGGATCTGGAAGTAGGGTGTATTGATCTGGAGGCGGGGCGTACGGGTCTGATGGTGGACCGTAAGAAGTGGGGTCTGGGGCGTACTGGTCTGGTGGTGGGTCGTACGGGTCGGGGTCCGGGGCGTACTGGTCTGGGTGCGGGGCGTACTGGTCTGGAGGCTGTTCATACTGATCTGGAAGCGGATCGTACTGATCTGGAGGCGGATCGTACTCATCTGGAGGCGGGACGTACTGGTCTGGAGGCGGGTTGTACTGATCAGGAGGCGGGTCGTACTGATCAGGAGGCGGGTCGTACTGATCAGAAGACGGGTCGTACTGATCAGAAGACGGGTCGTACTGATCAGTAGGCGGGTCGTACTGATCCGGAGGCTGGTCGTACTGGTCTGGAGGTGGGTTGTACTGGTCTGAGGGCGGGGCGTACTGGTCTGGAGGCAGGACGTAATGGTCTGGAAGGAGGGCGTACTGGTCTGCAGGCAAGGCGTACTGTTCTGGAGGCGGGGCGTACGCGTCAGGGAGCGCGGCGTATGATTCTGGGTTCGTAACGTACGTGTCTAAGGGCGGAGCGTATAGATCCGCGTCCGATGCATAGACGTCTGGGGCGAAAGCATCAGGCAGCGGGGCAGGAGGCGAATCTGGGGGCGGGTCTGGGGGCGGGGCGTGGTGCTATTCACGTATCCAGCCCACTGCTTGCAGATATCGACGCACCGCCACATCCGTGTCGCACTCCGCACTCGCCGCCCGCCTCAGTAGCACCCCCTTTAGCGTCACGTACTGCGCCGGCGCCAAGCTCAGTGCACTACATAGCTGTAATTGTAACAAATAAAATAAAAACAAAAACATCATTGACAGTAATACTATAATCAAACACAAAAAGTTATGACAAATGTTGAGCTAGCGACTTGCGAGTATTGAGTCAATACAATATATATATGATATATAATATGTTTACCTGTATTTCATTATTGTTGAGAAGATGCGTCGAGCAGACGCCGTTGCTGTTGCTGCATGAGCTCTTTCTGGAGCATCCACATGCGGTACTTCCGTCCCGTGTGCACTTTGGGCTGGTGGAACTTGAGCCGCTTTCGCCTTCTCTGTTCATACAAGATACAGACCATTGTATAACGGATGGAAATTTTTATAGAGATGTGTCGTGTATAACAAAATGAAGCTAACCTTTTTCTTGGCAGCAGCATGTTGTTCTGCATTTGTTCTTTTGTCTGGTTGATTTCCAGGCACCCACTGCTGCCCTGGCGAAAACAATCGTTATACGGAATCAAACCCAAAACTACACATCCACATACATGCATAATTCATACGCATTGCATGCAGATTTAACATTACACAAACATTTCTAGAATTTTTAAATATGACATTGGATTAATAAGATCAGATTTGTCCAGGTCGATGAACTCGACCAATAACTCGGTAAACACTTCTAACGAATCTATTAGACTCAGTAATTGACATTTAAAAAACACATTTTTGATTCTAGATCATCACGAAGAAGATTCATAGCCAATCTTATTTACAACGGATGAACGTCGAAAATTGAGGAAAAATCGTGCTTTAATTGTTTACGCAAGAATTTTTCCCTATACTCTGGTTTATTCAAATCACCAATGAATCACATGTTTTTCTCGAACATCGCAACCATTATATGAAAATCCTAATGGTAAAAGGGACATCCGATCAAGTAGTCGATAGTTCGAAGCCCGTTATTGACTAATATCATAAACCATATCTACTCTATAGCACAAATATATATATATATATAAAAGAAAGTCGTGTTAGTTACACTATTTATAACTCAAGAACGGCTTTACCGATATGGCTGAAAATTGGTGAGCTTAGAGCCAAGAGACGGACATAGAATACTATTTATTCCGTTAACGGATGGATGTTTCTCTCTCTCGATTTAATTTGGCATAGATGTAGTTGGAAGAACACATAGGCCATTTACTTTTGTTGACGGAGTCGCGGGCGAAAGCTAGTTATTAATATGAAAACCTAGTAAAAGAAATAAGGCAGTAATAAAATAAGAATATAGGAGAGCTCACGTGTAAATGAGCAGCGTGGGGGTGTTTCCTGTGCGCGGCGTGGAGGTCGTAGTGCGCGCACTCCTCGAGGCGCGTGACGCCGGCCAGCCGGTAGCGGTGCAGCTCAGCCAGGCGCACGCGCAGCTCGCGCTCGCGCCACAGCCCCGCCGCCGCGCTGCCCTGCTCCGCGCGCCCCAGGAACTGCGCCGTCCAGCGCAGCCGCTCCACGAACTCCCTGACACAACACTAGCTGTTCACGAGCGCCCAAACACAACGTATACAATTGGACTGTCTGTAATATCGATAAGTATGTGAAGTAGTAACTGCAACAGCGCTTACTTGATGCAGACTCGTTTATTGACGTCACTTAGACGTATCGTTAAAGAAAATACTAGTAAATAAACAGAATATATAAATTGAATAAAAAGGAATACTAGCTGTTGCCCGCGACTTCGTACTCAGTATTAAAAAAACATGATAAACAATCCCTCCATTCTTTCCATCCAAACTTACACATTTATAATATAACTTGGTACTATTTTTATATTATTGTCCTTTTCGCTGACCCCCTGAGTTTAATAGCATGGAAATATATAGCCTAAATCAAGTGTAGGGATTTTAATTAAAATAAAACTAATTAAAACATGCTATGGTTGCTGAAATTTTCAATAAATATAGTGTTTTTATGCTTTATTTTATTAATATAGATATAAAATAATACTACATGAAATGAATACATACTTTTTCTCTTTGGCAAGTTTCCCGAGTGTCCTTTGTTTGTTTCTTTGATTATTGAAGAATACTGAAACTAATTGATAGTCTCTCACTAGCCTTTTTCTTCTTGTTCGTTCTCTCAATCGACGTGTGTAGATATCCACTTGAGATAATTTGAGAGCTGTAAATAATTTTATTATTTAATAAAAAACAAACAAAAACCCTTCAACAACATAACTGTTAACTATAACTTCTAGAATCTTGTGAACTGTACTACTATAGAATCTTCTAGAATCTTGTGGACTGTACTCTTAGAGATTTTTATAATAAACTTGAAGATTGCTATGTTCGTATTTGTTTTTTATTTTTACAAACTATATTCAGTACAGGAAATACTTTGTTATGAGTAACATGAGTCAGAGTACAGAAAAATATAACTCACCAACATCTAACTCATCATCATCGGGATTTAATGATAATGTTGAAATTAGCTGTTCCGCTTCATGATCATGTTCCTGAAATATCACTTTCTTAATGTATAAGTCATAACTTTATGTATGTAATACAAAAACAGTGGACGCACACATTTGACTAAACTATCGCACAACCGTTGTGCGATTGTCGATTGTTTAGTAGTAGTAGTAGTATTAGTAGTAGTGGTAGTAGTAGTAGGGGTTATGGTCTCCGCAACTCCACGGCTAACGCATATTTTACTTGAGAAACAGGACATGGATTACTCCAGCCAACCCAGCTCTCCGAAAAACCCCAGCAAACCCTTTATGTTGCTGGTGATCTCCAAGAGCCATCTCAGCGAACTGAGATACCTAACCTATGTTTAGCAAACAATGTAACTGTTTAGTTGCACAACTTAAAATCGAGTAATGTGCACCTCCTTATAAGCACATAGGAATGAAAGTGAGACTAAACAGTTCAGTTGGGCAATAGTTTAGTCGAGGTGTGTGAACACTCTAAGTTGCTTGATGGAAAATGTTATCTCAGTTGTATGTTTGCAAATGTTTAAAATTTACAGGCAATATAGTTGCTTAAAATAAAAAAAAACAATGGACATTTAACTTACCAATCATTTCTATTTAATAAAATATAAAGTTAAACTCAACTTTTGCAAATGTTACATCATAATTTACTTGTATTTCATAATAGTGTAATGGTATTGTAAATATTAAATATTAAAATATACCCTTTCAAAGTCATCTCTATTTGGTGTATAACCTAAATGCAAAGCTTCTTCTGGAGTGACTGCTAGTGGAGGAAGACGAGATACTGCACTCGGTCCTAATGGACCTTCATCTCTATCTGCACAGTGCAGTGAAGGCCGACTTGTGCTTTCCACATTACCCCATGTAGCTCTTCCTATACTTCCCTCCAAATATCTAGTTATGTATTCATCTTTGGCCTCTAAAATAAAGTAGGTTTTACGACATTTGTTCTTTAGCATAAATTTATTTTAATCATAAAAACAGAATGTAGTATACCTTCTGGTGTTCGCGATTCTATATGTTTAGCGATATCTTCCCAATTCCCAAACCCAAATTGTTCTATAGCGTCCAATAGTCTAACTTCTTCATTGGCAGACCAACTTGTACGCCCCAAAAATATACCAAAAGCACCGGAGTCCTGGAAAAGCATAGAAAATCAAGAAAACATCTATGGTCAATATATAAGTAAATTGTACATCGTATTTTACCTTAACTTACCATAAACTGATAAGAGTGGTCATTTTTGTGTTGTCCAATTTCAGCACCGAGCGAAAAGCACTGAAAAAAGGTAGGAAAAAGTTTCCCTTTAATTTAAAACTCGCGCCAAAACTATAAACAAAAATGGCAGCCATGCAAATTTACCTGCAAACAAATATCAAAATCTATACATTCGGCACATCTTACACGAACACCATTTATTTCTTCTTGACAATAAGTACAATTATATTTAGCGTATAAATCCGAAAACGACATGTTTTTAATTTATACGCGTAACAGTCATACGTTGGCAGCTTTGATGTTTGGCTCGCCGGCCATGTTTTTTTTCCTTAGATCCAAACCAAAGACAAATTACTTTAAACAATCCAGATTATATTCAGATTCTGTCCAGATGGTTATTTTAGGATAGGGTATAAATAGACGAAATATCAACGACACAAAAAAACTATGAGCGTATGAGGTTCATCTTAAAATATTTAATAGCACTTTTAATTTACATAGCAAACAGATTTTTTATGAATCAATGTCCGCTTCGTATTAAGTTTTAAATACTATACGACTACCTGGGTTAGAAAGTACCAGTTTAAAGCTACATAGGGAACCATTGCGTACGGTGTACGGTTACAATTTGGTTACAGTTACAGTAAATTCCGATTGAATTCTGATGTTTAATTTACATTTTCTGCCATACCTGGCCATACCAACGTAATAACTTTATAAAGTTTGTTATAAACTGTGCACATTTCAGGTTACCAACATTAAGAAAATTTAATGTCAATCAATCTGCTTTTTTTGCTCTGAATATCAAGATTCTCATAATATTTTTAATTAAATATTCATACCAAGGCTCCGTATTACACATTTGCTAGTTCTTAGTTTTGCTCTCGTATGTTATCAAAAATAACCCTGGAAATATTGTTCTGATTAGGTGTTTTAGAGCCAAAAATATACATGAAAGTTGCTAAGAAATCGAGTTTTTGTTTTCCTTTGATCACTCATGTGCAATGTAATGTGCTAGTTTGCTAATTTTCCTGTACTTTGTATCGGTCCTCGACCATGAAATCCAGCAAACGAAGACTTCAAGCGCTTACGGAAGGTTCTGATGGACTGCCTAATTATATCAAAATGGAAGATTCAGAAATTTCTTTACCACCAGCACTAAGATCTCGTTTACATGAACTGTTTTCGCAAATAGAAAAAGAGTTTGACCTTCTTTACACTGAAAATTTAAATTGTAAGTTGATTTTATCCACTATTTAAATTATACACGTTACAAGTATTTTATCAATGGTCTTAAAATTTCGTGCTATTGTTTTAGTGCAAGAAAAAATTGATTTTCTTAGTGAAAAATTGGAGCGAGAGAGCTATATAGGAGATAAACCGAATCAAGATCTGATTGAATTTGAAACAACTGGAAAGAATTCAAAAGTTAAATGTAAGTATTTAACATTATCTTTGTTTATTTGTGTAGCAATTTTTTATGTAACAACATTTAGCAGTATTTTTTAAGAGATGTTATCATAAAAATAATTCTTGGTAAGACAAAAATGCACAGTCATTGTCAATATATTGCATTTATAAACAAGTCAAAATATTATCTACTATGCTTTCCTTAACCTCTGGATAGATTTTAATAAAAATTAAAAAGTACTTGTATTTATGTAATTATTTGTATTTGAAACTTTGTTACGATCCACTGATATTACTTTAAGATAATTAAAATTAAATATTCAACATGCATGCTTACAGTATCTCAAAGTAACTCGCAGAAGGTGAAAGCAAGTCACAAGCTTAGAGTTCAGACGAGCAAGATAGTCTCCAGTTTCAAAGCTCCCACATACAACTGTCAGCTTGTGAGAGAGTTCACTGGACATAAGGATGGTATCTGGGATGTCTCTACAGCTAGACCAGGGCAAGCACTTATTGGAACAGCTTCAGCAGGTAAAATGTAACAAATAGTTATGTTGATATTAGACGATTACTCTGGTTTTATACACATTGCAACAAATGTTGGGTAAGGGATTACCGATTATATTATTAATAACAGTGGGAACTGCATCCCACTTCTCTAATCCCACTGAATGAATTAAACTTAAAAAGTAGCCTATGTTTTTCTAGACTAGATCTGTGAAAAATTTCATCTAAATTTCTTTGAAAGTTTGGAGATACCGTATAACAAATATCCATACATCCATCCAAACTTTTGCATTTATAAGTATGATATTTAGGTAATTATGTTTTTATACCACAAGTTGTCAATATTTTACAGAAGTTAACTATAGGACTGACATGTTTGAATAAACCAGAATCTCTATACTTATTTACTTACTAATATAAATGTGAAAGTTTAGATGGATGGATGTTTGAAAGAGTTTGTACCCTAAATGGCTGAACAGACTTCAATGAAATTTGGTATAAATATAGAGGATAGTGTGAACACATAGGTTGCCTTGTTTTTTTTTATTCCACGCAGATGGAGTCGCGAGAAAAGCTAGTAATAAATATGGAAAATAGGTTCACTTTAGTCTATATTATAAACTACACTAGTTTAGGGTTAGGTACCGTTTTCTACTTTGTATAATTTCATTTCTATAAATTTTCTTTTGTTTTACATTTGTTTCTAATAATGTTTAATTTTTCAGATCACACAGCATGTATATGGAGTGTAGAGTGGGGCAAGTGCTTGTTGCAGTACACAGGACATTCGGGATCTGTCAATTCCATCCGATTCCACCCAACAAGAGATATTGCACTCACCAGCAGTGGTGATAACACTGCACATGTTTGGCAAGCTGCTGTCAATTGGGATCTACCGGTTTGTAAAATTAAAAATAAAACAAAACACGCTGTTTAACATATTTATAACATACTAGTCTGCAACTTTGTCCATGCTGAACTAAAAATAAAACTTACAAGTAGCCTATATGTTTTACATTCAAGCCAAATTACAGCAAAATCTATTAAACTGTTTTCAAGATCCATCCATCCAACTTTCGCATTTATAATATTAGTATAATTGTTTTCTTTAATTATTCTATTACTTTTGTAATGTCTATCTAAACAAGATTTTTTTAATTTTTTACAGCGTGGTCAGTCTTCGGAAGAAGAATTAGAAGGTGGTGGTGAGGAGAGTCTAGGAGAGGGTGGAGATAGACCTGAAGTATTAAGAACACCGCTCACAGAGCTGACAGGGCATATTGGTGTGGTTGTAGCAGCGGACTGGCTGACCGGTGGTGACCATGTGATCACAGCATCTTGGGACAGGACTGCTAATTTGTATGATGTGGAAACTGGTGATTGCTTACAAATTCTCACAGGTTAGAAAGTTCACATTATTTGTAAATGACATAGAATATTAGTAATTTTTATTTAGTTGATATTGAACACTTGAATTCGCTCAAATAGCAAAGAAAGAAACACAATTTCTGAAAAGTTTTGATATTGGTTTGCAACTATTTTGCAGGTTTAAATTTATAGAACTACTAACTATTACTTGCGACTTCGTCTGCGTGGAATTAAAAAATAATAAAAAGCATAATTTTTAAAATTGTCCAAGTAGATTTTTAGTTATTTAAAAATACGAAAATATAGAAATACAAATATTTTCTCTCTATGATATTAGTATATGTAAATATTTATCCTTATTTATATGAGAAAAATTATAGAGTTTTCATTATTGTTAGGACATGACCACGAGCTGACGCATGCATCAGCACACCACAGTTCCCGGCTGGTGGTGACGGCATCAAGAGACACCACTTTCCGTCTGTGGGACTTCCGTGAACCTATACACTCGGTATCGGTATTCCAAGGACACACTGAGTATGTATTTATGTTATTTGTTAATTTAAATGATAATTGACGAGTTTTCTTTTACATATCTTAAACATTTGATGCAATTTCAATTTTTTTTTTAAATACGTCTGAAATTTGACTCATAAATTTAACATAACATGTTTAAAAGTACATGGGAGAGAGGGTGAGGGGGTTGAAACATAATATAAATGTATGGAACTTTGATATGCTAACTACTATTATCATACTAATATTATAAACGCGAAAGTTTAGATGGATGGATGGATGGATGGATGGATGGACGTTGAGTTTGTTGCCTAAACGGCTGAATGGATTTCTATGAAATTTTGTATGGATGTTGATAGTCTCGAAGAACACATAGGCCTTTGTTTGTTCCCTTGTTTTTTATTCCACGCGGTCGGTGTCGCGGGCGAAAGCTAGTGATTAAAAAAAATAATTAAATTGCAATATTTATTATAACAGGAGCGTGACGTCAGCAGTTTTCACTCGCGAGGACAAAGTTGTCTCAGGCTCTGATGATAGATCTGTCAAGGTTTGTTTTTAATGTTTTTGTTACTTTTTCTAAATATTTTATCTTAACTGTAGTTTTTTAAATATACCTCAAATGAATAACAACATGAATTAAATTCCTAATTGTTAAAAACAAACTCGAATACTCGCCTTCATTATGTAAATACAGATTTTATTTCATAATATTAGTTATTTTGACAAAAATTGTAAGATAAGTTGAAGTAATATTCACAAATATTTATCTTACTAATATTATAAATGCGAAAGTTTAAATGGATGGATGGATGGATGGATGTTTGTTAGCGTATGTAGCCTAAACGGCTGAACGGATCTCCATGAAATTTGGCACAGGTTTAGAGCATAGACTGGAAGAACACATAGGCTACTTACTTTTGTTTTTTTTTATCCCACGCGGACGGAGTCGCGGGCGACAGCTAGTAGTTCATATTTGTAGTTGTTTGTGAGTAAATGTTCATACAGTTAAATGTCTGAGACGCTATTGCGGTTAGTTCAGTCAGATAATAAAATAAAATGAAACCTAAAATTACAATATGGCTAAGGTATCGTCAAATGAGGACTAGATGATGCCCAATGAGAGGCTCTGCTATCGGTTGTTTCTGACAGTTTTATCTAAGCCCATCATAATATAGTGTGTCACAGTATAACTTATGGCCACTGATTCAGATAGCCTTGTCTGTATACCTTTACCTTTAGTGAGGCTATATGTGTTTGAGGTGTGGGACGTACGCAACATGCGCTCCGCGCTGGCCACCATCCGGTCGGACTCATCAGTGAACCGCGTGTGCGTGAGCGGCGCCGGCCTCATCGCCATCCCGCACGACAACCGCCAGGTGCGCCTCTTCGACCTGCAGGGCCAGCGCCTCGCCCGCCTGCCTCGCTCCAGTCGACAGGTTAGTACACATTATTACCTATTACTGCATTAAAACTTTTACAGCCTTACAAATAAACGCGGTATAAAGTTAAAGTTAGGAATAAACTGAGTATAAGCAAAATTTGTACTAATATTTACTTACACAAGTTTCACTTTATACAGCGTTTATTTGTAAGGCTCTTATTGTTTGTAAAATTTGTAAAAATAACAATGAATTTACAATTAGCTAATAATTTCGTTACCATGGCAATTTTGTTTCTTTTCTGATATTAGGTTGTAGTTTTGGTCCCTTTCTTGCTTGACTTTTTTTTTAAATCAGTCACCCCCATTTATAAGAACAAGGGGGATGTGCAGGACTGTAACAACTATAGAGGAATAAAGCTCATGTCACACAGTATGAAAGCTTGGGAAAGAGTGGTAGATGCAAGAATCAGGGAAGAAAGTGAGGTATCTCGGAACCAATTCGGATTTACGCCAGGTCGGGGGACTACGGACGCCATTTATGCCATTCGCCAGTTGTGCGAAAAATTTAGGCGTGTGCATAAGAACCTGCACATGGTGTTCGTAGACCTCGAAAAGGCGTATGATAGGGTTCCGAGGGATGTTTTGTGGTGGGCTTTGAAAGTAAAAGGAGTGCCTGGGAAATACCTGCAGCTTATTCAGGCCATGTACTGGCGAGCCAGTACATACGTCCGGTCCGCTGCTGGCGATAGTGACAGGTTCGGTGTCTCGGCAGGTTTACACCAGGGGTCGGCTTTAAGCCCGTATCTGTTCCTCCTGGTAATGGATGCTTTGACATCAAACATACAGGAGGAGGCATCCTGGTGTATGCTTTATGCCGATGACATCGTGCTTGTCGGGGAGGATGAATGCGAGGTACAGAGCAGGTTGGAAGAATGGCGGGTTAAATTGGAGGGAGCTGGTCTTAAAATTAGCAGGACTAAAACTGAACATTTGTTTTGCGATTTTGGCGGTCCGACCAGCTTCTCTCCAATCGCCTTAAATGGTGTGCCTCTACCAACCTGCTCCGACTTTAAGTACCTCGGTTCTCTAGTCCAGTCCGACGGTGGCGTTGACCGAGACGTAAAAAGCCGAATAAATGCAGGTTGGATGAAATGGCGACAGGTTACTGGTGTGACTTGTGATCCAAGAATGCCTCTTAGGCTTAAGGGACAGATCTACAAGTCCATCATAAGACCTGTCGTATTGTATGGATCTGAATGTTGGCCCACCAAAGTTGCGGATGAAAAGAGATTGCATGTGGCTGAGATGCGTATGTTAAGATGGATGTGTGGTGTGACAAGAATGGATAAAGTTAAGAATGTGTACATTAGAGGAAGTTTGAAAGTAGCGCCAGTGGTGGAGAAATTGAGAAGCAAAAGGTTAGCGTGGTATGGACATGTTATGCGACGAAATGATGGGGACATAAACCAGAAAGTGTTAAGATTGAATGTGGATGGCTACAAAGGAAGAGGAAGACCGAAGAAAGAGGATATGCTTAAGAAAGGAGTGGATTCAGATATGACGGCTGATAGAGATGTATGGAAGAGCAGCACATACTGTGCCGACCCTCCATAAGGGATAAGGGCAAGTGGATGATGACCCCCCTTAAAAACGTTTCTTACATGTACAGGACTTACTTAAAAATGTTAAAAAGCCTTTTATAAATCACTCAGTGTTTTACGCATTACATTGCTTTGTTATCCTCTTGGCTCAGCACTCCAGTCTGTTTGTGCAGACCCTAAGATTTCAAGTGTGGAAGTCCCAATTCTCCTGTAGAAGTTTTTTTTTTTAAGGAAGAATGAATTGTGTTATTCAAATTTGTTTTGTATACACTTTTAGGGTCATCGTCGCATGGTGACGTCAGTGGCGTGGGCGGAAGAGATTTCCAACATCAATTTCTTCAGCTGCGGCTTCGACCGCCGCATCCTTGGCTGGTCTATCCAGCCCTCCAAGGACAATTAATGGATGACCATATCATATAGACTTTGACGTGTTTGTCGTCTCTTGTGAAACTATACTATTTACGAGTATTTGTGTTTGAACACAGTGTAGTGTATTTTTTTGTTGCAAAGAAAGTGACTTTTAGTATTAACAGCTTATAAAGTAACTGAACTAAAATTGATGACATGCACTTACAGTTAGCATAATTAAACCAGGCTTACAGTTTAATTTGTACAGTCGGTGAATTTAGCGGTTTTCCACTTTAAAAGTAGTCAGTTGAACATTATGGACAATAACCAACTCGGAATGGGACATAACTTTATATGTCTGTATACAAAGTTCAATGGTAAGTGGCTAATTTATTTTTATATTTCACTTTCAGAAAGATTAGTCTTGTAAACAAATCTTTCTGAAAGTGAAACACCGCGGATTTCCACGATTGTACCTTTATAGAGTTTTGATTTGCATTAGTTGTGAGTCACTGGCAGCTTATTGGCACCCAGTTATAATACACTGTAGTGAGCTGTTAGCTGCTAATTTAGTTGAGACGCAGCCCAATGGTTAAAGACTAACAGCCTTACAAATAAACGCGATATAAAGTTAAACTTAGGTATAAACTGAGTATAAGCAATTAATTGCTATAACTGAGTATAAGCGTTTATTTGTAAGGCTGTAAGTACATTGATATTTTCAACTGGACGACGAATTATAAGATTTGATTAATTAAATATTCTCTTGTTTGATTGCCCTTACTGTATTACATTAAGGGAGTCAGTGGTTTAGGGACTGATAGAGATGTATGGAAAAGCAGCACATACTGTTCCGACTCCATAAGGGATAAGGGAAAGTTGACGACGATGATGATGGTGGTTAAGGGACTCTGAGTGGCAGTTAGTTTACTGAAATCTCTTGCAGAGGCAGTAATGATTTGTTACTACATAATTGTAACTTAGCAAGGGTTTGTGGAATAATAAAAACTATTTTTATTATATTAATAAACTGGAATCATTAAATGTTGCTTTAAAAATCACATTTTCTTGATACTATTGGTTTTGTAAAATACCTTTATATTGAAACGGTTAAAAAGTGATAAGGATGCCTTTTAAATTTCTTAAGCTGTTTATTTTAAAGACTTTTAGAGCCTGTTCCACCACTGCCTGATAGTCTCAGATAGCTTAAAAATGACGTCACTGTCAGAATGTAACCAATATTTTACACTTTGGGTGGTTATCGGACAATTTGTTATATGGTGGGACAGGCCCTTATTTATTTTTCTCCATTTTAAACATTGAAGTTGTATTGTTTCAGTATTGATATAATTTAGAAGTAAGTTTGTTTATATGTGTATCTTAGGTTTTTAAAATGTTGTTAGAAATAATATTCTGTGATTTTAAAAAGGAAACTATAAAAAGTTATTTGGTATGTTAACATCTTTATTTCTTCATATTTATTCTCTTGTCTTTTGTTTATAATTATGGTGGTTAAGTAATCAAGAGAGAGTGTTTTTTCTTTAATAATATTAGTTAAAAACAAAATATATTAAGTACTAGTTAAATTAATTATTGTATGATCAATATAAGAAATAGCGGGAGAGAGTTACTTAGTAAAGTTATATAGGGACTTCGTAACTTAGATAAAAGCTAAATGTCTCCTACTAAAGTAAATTAGCCTTTATTATTTTGGGACGGTTAACACAATTGATGTAGGTATTATCTTATTTTCAGTGATTTTTAATAGTAATAAAAAACATACAAGAGAAGATACATTTTTGCTTAATATTTATATAAAGTAAGTGAAATTATTCATTTCTTAATTTTTATTTAAATTTGCTTAAGATATATGTCCTATGTACGGTAATAACATAACAATTATTATGTAAAGTGTTAAATTGTTGATTTTTAATATTTGATTATTAGAGTAAAATATATTTAATAGTTCTCGCCTCTGTATATTCTACAAAGTAATTTTAATAAAATCAAGTATAGATTATAACAATGTTCTACACGTAAATTACCGCTTTTTTTGTAGTGGCGTCATTGTTTAAAACTCAAATAATATGTTAATTTTTTGCTATAAATGTAATACTGTGGAGAAATCATTAGACAAAACATATCTTTAATTGTAATGTATTTGACGAACAAGTTATGTAGTATATAGTCTACCTAGTCAACAAGAAACAGTTTGTTGTGAACCAAAGAGCTCAAAACGACTTTTATTAACGAACTTCTAAAGACAGTGTTGCCCTCTCGATAAATAGATAATTCAATATTTGTTTCATTTGTTCAATAAAATAAAATATGTGAATACAGAATATCATTTCACAATTAATTTTAAATACGTTTTATTAGGTGTTTGTTTTAAAAGAAAAATGATTTATTTAATAAAGTCAATATTTATTACAGTAATATATTAAAATTATAATATTTTTATAACATTCATAAAGGTATAAGGTAATCTTATTAACTGTCGTGTAGGTATTAACTTGGTAGTGCCTGCAAATTTTAGATTCACATATTTTTGGATTGTCAACTCTGTACGTAAAGTATTTATAAATAACTGTTTATAGACGTTTAATATTTTAGTTTTAACTGGTAGTAAGGTTTTCAGATAGGACAGTTTCCATCACTTCATTAAATTTCATTGACATAATGTTCAGGAATTATTACACCTGTGAAAAGATCTTAATAAAATTATAGCAAGACTATTGGATAGCATAATATATGAACTGCTCATAGCACCCAAATGTAACGTAATGTATGCCCCAGTTACTAATGAAAGGATCTGAATATTTTTGTTATGCCAATTATGGTAAATAAAATGTAAAGTAAATATACATGGTTTCTTTTAATCTATCCACATATACTATTTTTTTCCAAAAACAAACAAAAGTATTGTAATATTCAGAGTTGTACAAAAGCTGATGATTATGAAACAGGTGTGAAGGTGCAAACATCAAGTAGCACCAGGAAGTCTATGAACATTTACATACATTATATCTATAGTCTTAATTATCCCGGAATAGCTACTTAAATTCCAATTCACATTATGGACAAAAATTCTGGAAAAACTGTGATTGCAAACTAGATTATGAGTTTTCGCTACTCTGTACTTTTCTGTGCTATGTTCTCTGTGTTTGTCTGCGAGTGATTGGACTCGTGTGATTTTTTTTCACTCGAGTCACTTGGTAGTGGTAACTTTCTCACTCGAACCCCACTCGAGTGAAGATAAGACTCGAGTGGTTTTTATTGACTCAAGTCACTCTGAATATAAAACTCATCATCATCATCACCAGCTCACTATAAGTCTCCACCGAGGGGTTCGGAGCCTACCCTGACTAGGCCAATGATATAAAATTCGAGTAACCAAATTTTTAAAAGGAATAAAACAATATTAATTTAACATAGAAATCCATTTTCGCATTATTGTAAAACGCTGCTGCAGAAATTTAAACAAAATGTAAAAAAAATCAACAACCGGACACTAATAATGTGTTTAGTTAAAAAGGTAACAAATTAACTGAAATTGCTGTAAGAATTTCTTATTCGACTCGGTTTAAATCACTCGAAAGGTTACGAGTCAAAAATATCCGAGTAATGAAATAAAAATTACTCGAGTGATAAGCAACTCGAGTCCCATTACTACTTCCATCAATAGATTAATAGATATTCTCTGTGGTTGAAGTTCAGTGTTGTTTTCGTAATTTGGCAGTTTCACTTTATCTTGTTTTTATGCATTTAAACGACATTTCGCGTTTAAATAAATTAGGTTTTATTGCCTTTAGCGTTTGTTCCTAAAAGTATCGTATTGTGAGGTGAGCGCCGTATTGACGGCGTTTACTATAAGAATGGAGGAGCTGCGGTCTTTTTTCAACAATCCATGTCCGTCTAATGCACAAGTTAAAAAATTACGAGGCCCAGTAACAGGTGGTCGGCGAATAACTAAAGAAGATACAATAAATGAACTGAATAAACCTGAACATCATCGTCACTCTGTTCTCGCGAGCGGCACTGATTATGCGGAGTCAATTAAAAAAAAAGAAATGGAAGATTATTTGAAGGTATTCACGTATAATAAATATTAAACATATAATTAAATAGCTGTGTGTAGCTTTATTTACTTCCAAATTACATGAGTATAGTATATAAATAACTAATGTTGAATACGATCACACCCCTCACAATTGCTGTGCATGCGCGTTTTTTATAATTTAAGCTAAACTAAAATATTAAAGTAAATAACTCATTTTTCAGTATGAAGGGAACAGAGACACATTCCATAGTTTTGCTGGTGGACTGGATTCTTTGGAACAGCTATCATCATGCAGTTACTCAATGCAGAACATTGAGGCTCTCACAGAGGAAGCGATGAATGTAGTATACAATAAATACTCATTCCAGAGAAAAGAGAATACAAATAATTTAGCAATAAATGAATATAGACAACAGGTGACATACTTTCTCATTAGCAAAACTAAATGTTTGTGGCATAGACAATCTTTTGTTTTTCTATAACTAACTCTTACCCTATAAATGCCTCCTAAACTGACCAAAATGACTAAAAAATGCCTAAAACATTCTCTCCGATCTCTCTCTATCTCCGATTATAACTTGGTTGCTTAAATAGATTTTTCTATTTTAGATTTTAAGTAGCATCTCAGCCTATCCAGTTGTGATTATAGAAGGTCCAACTGGATGTGGTAAGACAACACAAGTACCGCAATGGATTCTAGATGATTCATTTGAGAACCGTAGGCCATGTAAAATTGTTGTCACTCAACCAAGGAGAATAGCAGCTATTTCTATTGCCAAGAGAGTTGCTCAGGAGAGAGGCTGGGATGTTAGTGGTGTAGTTGGATATCAGGTGATTAATTTATTGATATATTTTTATTCTTTGATGTATTCTAATTTTTAAATGGATGATTCTGAACCATGTTCTGTCAAATTCTATGTATAACATTTTACAATTCAGTGTTTTAAAAATATGCTTATCTTTTTTTATTTTAAGGTGGCATTGGAAGCTAAAGTGTCATCCGATACTCGCATAAGTTATGTTACAACTGGTGTACTTCTACAAAAACTTGGTAAATATGCAACTAAATATAATTAAATAATAAACAATATATTGCAATGTGTTAACACATTTTTTATAATTAGTTTCAGCAAAGAATATGAATGAATTCACACATGTAATATTAGACGAAGTACATGAACGCGGTCAGGAAATGGATTTTCTTTTGCTTGTGGTGAAAAGACTTCTGTACACAGTATCACCGCATGTCAAAGTGGTCCTCATGTCGGCTACGATCAACCGGAAGGCTTTTGCGGATTATTTTATGATACCAACCCCGATGGGATTGCAGACTGCCATGTGTATTAAAGTTGTGAAAAAAGATCCAATGTTTACCGTGAAGACTTTCTACCTTAATCATCTAAATAAGTTTGGAGCAGTAAGTTTCCGTTTTACATACACTTTTTCAAGATTCTTACTACATCCATACTTCATAGAGATCCATAGAGTAGTACTTGAGATAGCTTCCAACAAACATCCATCCATCCATCTAAACTTTTGCATTTATAATATTAGTGAGATGATTTCCTTGTAAGTGTCTACTAATCTTTCTAACTGTTCTATGCTTTCTATTTGTGGGTTTAAAGTCTTGAAGGATACAGAGATTTGTGTTCTATTTGCAGATATTGGACAAGATTACATCAATGAAGAATGAATCACCAGGAATCCCTCCGGAAATGCATCACCTGGTGATAAAATTGATAGACGCTTTCGAACAAATTGATGAAAAAGAAGAGAACTTCGGGAACAGAGCTGAAGCTGATTTACCCTCTGTTTTGATATTCTTACCTGGTATTAATGAAATTGAGGAGTTATATGATTGTTTGACAAATTTTGAACTGCGGTGAGTGAATAATATTTCATCTTTTGCTTAATACATACTGAATTACTAGAAACTATCTTTGATCAGGATATATGTTAAAATTAATAAATTCGAAAAGAAAACTAAAAAAATTTAATAGTATGAGTTTGCGGATCAAATTATTTAAACTATACTAACATAGGACATGGCAAAGCCCAAAAAACACCTGATGTTTGTATGGTTTGAAAGATATTAATAACCATAGTGTTTTGTTTATTTCTAGATCAAAAATGTCAGAGAAGTTAGGTGTAACGAAGTCAAAATGGTGGGTGTTGCCGCTGCACTCCACCATCACCGCGGACGAGCAGGTGCGCGTGTTCCAGCGCGCGCCGCCCGGACAGCGCAAGATCATACTGGCCACCAACATCGCCGAGAGCTCCATCACTGTGCCCGACATCAAGTATGGTCTGTACACAACCATTATTACTTGACACCCATTTTAGCAGAGCAGATTTTTTCATTAGCTTTATGTTGTTGAAAGAAGGTTTAATTTTGCTTTTCACGTGTTGTTATGCACGTCCCAACTGAGGGGCTCGGGGCCTGCCATAAGTTAGGGTGACAAGGCCTTAGTCAAGCGCGCTGCTCCAGTGCCGGTTGGTTGACTTCACACGTATGTTTAAATTTCTTCGCCAAAAGGTACAGATTGCATCACGATATTTTCCTTCACCGTAAGAACGTCGGGTAAATTATGTACATATGAAATTCGAAAATCGCTTTTGTACAAAGACCTGTAGATTAGAAGTCAAGATTAGAGCCCTGAGCCATCGACGCTCTATAAATAAATTATACATTAAAAATGTATAGTTTATTATTTATTGTTGCAGTGATCGACTACTGCCTGATGAAGGTGCTGGTGGCGGACGCGGCCACCAACTTCACATCGCTGCAGCTGAGCTGGGCGGCCAAGGCCAACTGCGAGCAGCGCGCCGGCCGCGCCGGCCGCGTGCGCGACGGACGACTCTACCGCCTCGTCACGGAGAGGTTTTATGTAAGTTTTTATACACGCATATATATCTATATATCTCTAGGAGGCTTAAAGTCCACGGTACACTATGGAAAGCCCTTCCGCATCTTACGATGTTCTGAGTTGCTAACATATTTGAAAAATACTATACATAACAATTTTTTAAAGGAATCAGGCAATCAAGCTGTGGTATGATTCTCAGATTTTTCTCACATCAAATCTCAGATAGGCATCCTCATGAATTGTAAATGTATTGTGACTAAGAAAGGCATACATACTCACTTCTTGGACCCTTAAATTGGAAATACGATTTAAAAATGTATGTGTATTTTATGTGAGACTTGTAGATCTGCAACACTAATTTCGAAGCCTTACCGGCAGCATTTTTTTACTTTTGTCCTGTGTTTAAAATATTCCAGAACGATTTGCCGGACGAGTGTCCGCCGGAGATAGTGCGGTGCCCGCTGGAGCGGCTGGTGCTGCTGGCCAAGATGCTGGACATGGGCCCGCCCAGCGACATCCTCGCACTCGCCATGGACCCGCCCGATATGTCCAATATACATAAAACTATACTAGTACTCAAAGAGGTCAGTTATTTATGAATAGTTTTTTATATCCCTCAAGTTGGCAAACAAGCAAGCGGCCACCGGATTCCGCCAAAATGGCAAAGCGACCGCTGCCCATAGACATCGCTAATTGTAGATGCGTTGCTTATCCTTAATTGATGGGAGAAGAGACGCACATTAACAGGAAATTTCCCTTTCTTATGCGTCTCCCCCCCGTCAAATCCATTTTTCCTTACCGTCCTTTCCTCTTAAGCTAAGGATGGAAAAGAAAGGAGATTAAAGTCAGGCCTCCGGCAATACTTGCACATTTTATTTCTTTTCTTGAATTCGCGTCAAATCAAATATTCAATCTTTTTATATGTGTAGATGAAGCTGTCACCCGTGATGTCTTGTGCGCGGAATTAAAAAAAAATCTATTAGCCTATTTGTTCTAAATAATATCTAAACTTGGACATTTATAATATTAGTAATAAGTGAAAGTACTTAGGTGGGTGGTATGAAGAAGACGATAGACGACGAGTGGTGCGTGTCTGACGGTGACGTCACGTACCTGGGCCGCATCATGGCCAAGCTGCCGCTGGACGTCAGGGTCTCCAAGCTGATCGTGCTCGGATACATCTATGGATGCTTCGATGAAAGCATCATAATGGGTATACTTCTATTTTATTTAACTATCCTAATATTATAAAGGTTATGCGTTTTTTATGTATTGAAATAACTCAAAAACTACTGGGGCAATTTTAAAAATTCTTTCACCAATAAATAGCTACGTAACTGAGTAACTAAAACTACGTTTAATATTTTTTTCCGCGCGGACGCAGACGCGATCTACGACTAGTTTAGTTATAAAATGTTAGGAAATAAAATCAACAAAGCACATTTTATGTTGTTTGAGATACTCTACTTTGATAAAAACTTGCAAGTCACATTCTCTGCTTGCTTAAATGCTGTCTTGAAATATTTTTTAATTATTTATTGTTACAAACATCTATACAAAGTAACAACAATAATCTCTTCATGCATGCAATATTATGAGAAATAAACATTTGTGAATTATTACATTATGCACCTAAAACCAAATAATTTGCAACTGTAACAAATTTAAAAAAAGTTTTTCGATGTTTTCAGATGTTTTGTAAAAAAATAACGTTTTTTTTTATTCTCTCAAGGTGATTATTGTTTTAGATGAAGAGTACCACCAGCATACCCCACTGTACATTTATAACACAACAAAGTTTGTTATTCCCAGCTGCGGCGATGTCCGTGAAGAATGTATTCAACAGTCCGTTCCGAGAGAAGCTGAATGCGTACAACTCGAAGCTGACGTGGGCTGACGGCTCCACCAGCGACTGTATCGCCTTCCTCAATGTTTATAAGGTATACTTGACTAAGTAAACTTGTTCATATTTAACTAACTAAAATTGTATGTGAGTAATTTAAAATTTTCTGTATGTGTTTTGTTCGTGTAATCTCCAAAATAGGTGAAACGATTTTGATAGGACAATTTTAACATAAGCTATATTTTAAATCCTACTATGACAACCATCATACTAATATCATAAATACGATAGTTTAGATGGATGGATGTTAAAGATTGTAGCCAAAACGGCTGAACAGATTTTGATGAAATTTGATATAGATGTAAAGGATAGTCTGGAAGAACACATAGGCTACTTACTTTTGTGTTTTCAATTCCGCGTGGACGGAGTCGCGGGCGAAAGCTAGTTAATTATATTATCATAACCTCATCTTTGACATCACAGATTATACAATAATTGTAACTATGTTTATTGTCCATCTAGGTGTGGAACCACCTGCGCAGAATGAACTACTTCAAGGAGGCCGGCAGCGAGGGCCAGTGGGCGCGCCGCTTCTACGTGCAGATGCGCGCGTTGCGCGAGCTGGACGACCTCGTGCGGGAGCTGCGCGCGCGCCTCGCGCGGGAGGGGCTCGACAGCGCCGTGCCCTCGCCCTGGGCCAAGCATGAGATCACACTAGTGCTTAAAGTAAGTTGGAATAATCGATAAATGTTATTGATTGAAAAATACTATAGTTAAAATACCAAAAAGTGTAATCTAAATTTAGTTGTTCTTTGCATAATTGATTTTATTTAAAAATAGCTATCGCCCGTGAGTCATGCCGAATAAAAAAAAATCTTAACATTGTTCTTCTAGATTATGCCAAATTTCAAAGAGATTCATTAAGCCGTTTTGAAGATATGTATAAGCAAACATCCATCCATCTAAACTTTCGCATTTATAATATTAGTACGATTACCTCGAAAGAAGTTTTTTTCTTACACAAATCAAAATAGATCAATCAAAATAGTCATGAGTTTAATTTCTAATACCGCAATACTTGTAAAAAAATTATATTATCATCCCAAATGCCTTTCATTTTTCTTGAAGAAATATTTAAAATACTGTGTTTTTGTACGTCCGTGAGAACAAATTAAACTGTTAAATTAAACAAATTAAATTAAACCTGGAATGGAACGGTCGGCTGCGCCCGACGGCTACGTCTAGGTGACGTCAATAAACCAGTCTGCACTAAGCAAGCGTCGTTTCTGTTACTCCCATACTTATCATAAACTAATCCGAGTTTGTTTGATTTCCAGTTGATAATAGCGGGCGCGTTCTACCCGCAGTACTTCGTGCAGGCGTCGGGGGACGAGTGCCGCGAGCGCGAGGCGGTGCGCGCGCTGGCTGGCCTCGACCCGCGCCGCTCGCTCTACCTCACCGGCTGGCCCGCGCACCAGCCGCTGCCGCCCTACGCGCCCGCGCTGCGCCGCAAGCTGGCTGCCGTGCTGGGGGACCGGCCGCACGTCACCTTCCACCCCGGCACTAAGTACTAACACTGCTTCGGAATGGACTATGTAGTGTGAATGATTTGAATTAAATGTAAATTTGAACATTAGTACTTTTTGAATCATCAAAGATATGCACAGTTTGTATGAATAAACGCTATAGAGGAATACGTGCAAACATATTTTTTAAATCGAAGGTGTATACAAGTTTCTGAAGTTTCGTTAACGTGAATATATTAAGCTGACTGTACCACAACCATGTCTCTAATCGTCAAGCATCAATTTTACTAAGCTATTTTAAGTTTCACTTTGACGCGTTCTATAGAATCAATCGACCATTTAGAATTCCCTTCCATTAGACCCGCCTTTTTTTGGTAGCGGGGGGGAGGGATCTTTAAAAAGATGCCCTTTCTTATGGGGGAAGACAGAGTTATGTGAGGTTTGTAGCCACTAAAACCCCCTCGGCGGCAAGCCTCTAGTGCAATAGGAGAGGATTCCGGGATCTCCGTGGAACTGTCCGGAACCTACTAGTCAAAGTAGTCAAAAAAAGTCAAAATTATTAGTACTTTTTAATTTAAATACTCTTTATTTTAATTATTTAAATATGTCTCGTTCACAGGAAAATATTTTTGATGTTCTCTGACGGAAGTGATGAAGCAAAACCTCCCGAAAGAACAGGGGTGAGTTTAATTACTTATTTTCAATATTACTTTAGAAAAAAATTACATTTGATATAATCCAATTTTGTACAGGACCCTACCATTCCCGGACAAGTGGTACTTCCTGTGTACAAAGCTGTCAAGGCTCGACAAATACGTACAGAGATTCGTATACCTCTTTTGCCGTAAGTAAAACATAAATGTAGATTTATAAGAAAACACATGGAAAGTAAAACACAGATAAATTCTAACTATACTGATATAAAGAGGAAAGATTTGTATTTTTGTATGTATCAAAATAACTCAAAAACTACTGGACCGATTTAAATAAATCACCATTAAAAAGCTATGTTATCAGCAAGTAACACGGCAATGTTTTTTTATTTTCTTAATTTAACGCGAACGATGTCGCGAGCAATAACTAGTAAGCTATAATATTAAGTTAACATCTTTAAATTTTAAGTTAACAAACAAAGTTAACAAAGAACTTTCTCACTATTATACTAGATTTGGTAAACTACACTAAACTACAATAATTCAACAAAAATCAAATATTCTTCTATAAAAAAAAACTAAATATTGTTAACCAGTAAATTTAATAATTTCTCGTGTTTCAGTATAGAAAAAGCGAACGAATTAGCAGCGGTATACGAGAAAGCGACTGCGAACGTGGACTTGGAGAAGATGGTGCCGCGCCTGCCGGAGATCGACGACACGCACTTCCCTCTCAAATTGTCCCAAGTAATAATTTTTATCTATATATGTACAGTCAGCTTCATCTATATGATAAAAAAAACGCAATTTTTTTATATTTTGTAAACGTACCACAATCATATTACATTATATAATGTCTACATGTCTACATTGACAAAGAAAATAAAAAATATACTGATATTTATCCGTTTACACTACTCTTGAAAGCCCTAATTTTATATTATGAATACTTATTTTAGAATAAAATAGTATTTATTGCCACAAAAAGAAACGAAAGTAAAATACTTACTTATTAGACCTATTCTAAAGACAAATCTATTACATGTAATAAAATTGGAGTGTCTGTAATATCAAGAGAAAAGTTCCAGATTTCTGGTAAACACATTGTATTTGCTAATAATGAATATCGTACTTAAAACGTTTTTATCTGTCCGCAAGCCGTGTTTGTTCCTGGTAATCTCCGAAACAGATTTCGACCGGACTTTCACTGAAGGGTAGCTGATATAGACATGCACATTATGGGCTATTTTTTTTTTTAATTCCGCGCTGTCAAAATGGCGACCGGACCGCTATCTCTGGAAAGTGTGGACCGATTTGGACGGGACTTTGACTGTAAGATAGCTGGTAGACACGCGGTTAAGTGATAGATGACTTTTTTTAAATCCGCGCCATCGAAGTTTGCGGGCGACAGCTCGTTAACATATAAAATGTTGTCAAAGCTAGCCAGCTCAGCATGTAATTTGTTGCAGTTCATATCCGTGAGCAAGTTCTGGGTACAATACGACGACGAGTCAACTGAAGCGGAGCTGCGCCAGATAGAGGAGGAGCTGAACCGCGGCGGGCTGCTGGCCAGCGCGGGGGAGCGGCCCGGCGCGCTCTGCGCCGCGCCCTACGCCAGCGCGGCCGGCACCGCCTTCTACCGCGCCCGCGTACTCGCCCTCCACAACAGGGACATGCTGGAGGTTATTGACACATTCTTAAATGTTTTATTTTTTTGTTAGTCAAACTGGTATTCGAATAAGTGAACTTCCTAGTCGATGGCATTTAAGGTGTTAAATTAGTAAATATTTGTTTTATTTTTTAATTTCTTTCTTGCCAAGTTTCATTACCGAATAAATCTGTTTTTGATGAAATATGATGTATTACAGTTAGCTGCATAAATATACACAAATAAAACTTAAGAAACTTGTATAGTTGTACGGTTTCAAAAACACGTTTGTGATACATATTAATAGAAATAAAGACGGTCACTAGTTTCTAAAGCTTTGTAATAGTCGACGATGTCCCTCTGTTTTAACGTAAGCGAAAAAATATCTCTTAACATCTACAGCATAGAGTTAATTTTGTGTATTAGGTGTTGTACATCGACTACGGCAGCTGCGGGCGCGTGAGTGCGGGCAGCGTGCGCTCGCTGCCGGCGGGCGTGTGCCGCAGCGCGCCGCCGCTGGGTATGCAGTGCGCGCTGGCCGGCGTGGCGCCCGCGCCGCTGCTGGACCACCATGCGCACTGGGCGCCCGCCGCCGCGCACCTCTTCACCTCGCTTGTCACGCGCGGCCGCCTGCTCGGCAAGGTGCTGCCACTGCGCACCACTACACACCACTACACAACACTACACAACACTACACAACACAACACTACACAGCACTACACAACACTACACAACGCAACACAACACTACACAGCACTACACACCACTACACAACACTACACAACACTACACAACACAACACTACACAACACAACACTACACACCACTACACAACACTACACAACACACCACTACACAGCACTACACAACACTACACACCACTTAACAACACTACACAACACTACACAACACAACACTACACAACACTAAACAACACAACACTACACAGCACTACACAACACTACACACCACTACACAACACTACACAACACTACACAACACTACACAGCACTACACAACATTACACAACACTACACAACACCAAACACCACTAAACACATTTAATACTACGGTTAAGAGCTTGCTCACAACATTGACTAAACTATCGTGCAACTGTTGTGTGGTTGTCGATTGTTGTGCAGCCAGTTAAACTGTTTAGTTGCACTATTAAAAATCCTGTAGTGTTCACACCTTCATATAAGCTATTAAGTATCAAAGCGCGACTGAACAGTTTAGCGATAGTTTAGGTAAAGGTGTTCGCGCGCTCTAAAGGACTCTTAGGTGATTGCTTTCACAATCAATAGAGAAAGAATAGTATAACACCTAACAATCCTATAACACCAATAACACCTAGATCTTTTTAGAGATTAGGTGTTCGGTCTCAAATATATGTTTAGCTTTGGCCTAAGTTATTAAAAAAAATACAAAAGTAAGTAGTCAGTGTGTTCTTCCAGACTATCCTCTACATCTATCCCAAATTTCATCGAAATCCGTTCAGCCGTTTATGCTACGAACTCTAACAAACATCCATCTATCCATCTGAACTTTCGCATATGTTATTAGTAAGATTTAAATAGTAAGATGTAGATATGTTTCCAGGTGTATTCGGTAGTGAACGGCGTGGTATCGATAGAGCTGTTCGCGGAGCACGGCAAGACGAGCGTCAACAAGGCGCTGTTGGACAAGGGGCTCGCTGTGCCCTGCGAGGAGAGCTATGAATCTAAGGTATTAAGAGTATTTTAAAAAAAAGTCAAATTTGTTAAGTCTTTAAAGCAGATTTCTTAATATTTTCGTCCATCTCAAAATATTTTATAATCCAAAAGATACAATTTTCACGCTATCTGAAAACTTTTCTAATCGTACAGGAGTTTATCAAATTAATTTAGTTTTTGAGTACATAGTGAACAAATTATTCTTCTTTACATTTTTGTATAATAATCCAGACAAGTCTGTGGTACTGAACATAATATTGAGGGTCTTGTTTGGTTTATATTTGTCTTTTTATTCTATTTTCTAGTTAAATCATGACGTGAGAGAGATGGCGAATAGTCTAAACATGGTCCAGAAGAGAGCATACAACAAGGAGCAGGCCGAGGCCGCGTTCTGTCACATGAACGAGATGGAGCCCCCCAACTATAAGGACTGCGACACTGACGTCTGCTTGAAGGGACCATTCAGGTAAATATTTAGTTATAAAAGCGATCCGCTACTCGTTTGCCCCCTTTTAATTTATATTGCTCACTCGCTTTCGCCCACGACTCCGTCCGCGAGTAGTTAAAAAAGCAAATGTAAGTAGCCTATGTGTTCTTCAAACTATCTTCTACATCTATGCTAAATTTCATTAAAATCCGTTTAGCCGTTTAGAGAACAAACTCTAACAAACATCCATCAGTCCATTTAAACTTTCGCATTTATAATATTAGTATGAATTAAGTGATTCGCTGCTTGTTTGTCCCCTTTTTTATGAACAAAAAGTCTAATGTCTATGGTTTTTTTATTGCTTATATATGTACCAGTACATAAATTCTTATTTTCTTGTTATTAATAGATAGTGCCAGTTTAATAAATATTTTCTTACCTTAAAAATTCTAGTAAACCAATAAATTATAGAGTAAATCGTATACTTTATCTATGGGTGTGTCAGTCCTTTATGTCCGGCGCCTTGGACTGTCGCCCCATCTCGCATTACCCTGATGCCAGTACTAGATATTGTATATTAATATTTAAACTGTTTTGTTTCTACAGTCCGTTGGAAACCAACATTCACAGTCTGATGTACTCGGGTCGAGAGAAACTTGTCCATATCGAGTGGAATTCTGTCAACTCCGTGCTGTTAGATACTGAACCGCAGGAAATATATGAAAAGTAAATATTTTTTTATTACAACCATTAAAGTGTGCATAAAATGTTAGCTTACTGGTGACTCTAAATGCAAGGTAGGCGTAGACCTGTCAAAAAGATACCAAAGATTTTTGTACATTTATGTCAGTGTCATAAATCCAAGATGGCCGCCGCCACAAGATGGATGATTTTTTGTACAACCACCACATTCAGATCAAATTATAGAATTCTAAAATAGTACAAGATAGTTAACATCAATAATAATACTAAATTGAAATTTATGGCTTGTAAATCAATTTGAATTATTTATTTTTTAGATTGGTAGTAGCGGCGCAGGTGTGTCAGAACGAGATGGGCAGCACGCTGACGCTGCACCACACCACGCTGATGCCCAACATCCCCGCGCTGCCGGCCATCATAGCGCTGCTCTTCTGCCCACAGTAAGCTTACTTATTTTATTTATAACTAGTTGTTCCACGCGACTCCGTCCGCGCGGAATAAAAAAAAAGCAAGTGGCCTATGTGTTCTTCCAGACTATACTCTACATCTATTCCAAATTTCATCCAGATCCCTTCAGCCGTTTAGGCTGCAAGCTCTAACATCCATCCATCCATCAAAATTTTCGCATTTATAATATTAGTATAAGTAGCTGTTCCTCGCGACTTTCTTTGTGTGAAATAAAAAAAAAATAATATTTTTTTTTGAAATCGGTCCAGTAGTTTTTAAATTATTTCAATACATATAAATCTTTCCTCTTTATGATAATAGCAGTTTAGTGTTATCAAGGCAATCTACAAACACCCTTTTAGAAATGTGAAGTACTAGCTGTTGCCCGCGACTTCGTCCGAGTAGTATTAAAAAATATACGAACTATATAAATAACAAAAAACTACGTATCTCTCGGGAACCGGACATTTCTCGGGGATGAACCTTGAGCCATGTGTACTCCAGACTTTGTTTTATATCTGTGCCAAATTTTAGTAAGATATGAACCGTAACTATTCCCGGGATAAAAAGTAGCCTATGTGTTCTTCCAGACTACGCTCTAAACCTGTGCCAAATTTTATGGAGATCCGTTCAGACATTCTACCAAACATCCATCCATCCATCGTAACTTTCGCATTTATAATATTCATATGATATGATCAAGATTGAGTGTACATTGCATGTAGCCAACAAAGGAAGAACAAAGAATGTATGGATTGTGTGGAAGATATGCGTAAGGAAGTATTTAGAAATGACGTCCGATAGAGATGTTAGAGCAGCACAGACCCTACGTAGTGTTAGCTTTTTAACTATTTTGATGTATTCTGTATTCTTGAAGGTTATTTAGTCTGTGCTATAAATCAATACATTTGTCATAATTTGAAATAACGATATAACCTTTGTAATTGTGATCCAAAACATTATTTAAAATATTTATGTCATGATTTTAAAATGTCGTAATTCTGCTTGTTATGTTAATAATCGGATAGTAGTCGGATGTCAAAAATAAGGGTGTTGCATTAGCTCGACGACACGACGGCCATATTGGTAAGGTTATTCTGTGCAAATTGGTAGAAAACATAAGAGGTAATGAAGACTATATTTTATTAAAGCATAACATGGCTGTGACGCCCTTAGTAGGGACATGTTGACATACGCCAATTTAATAAAAAACATGAATATTGTAATGCAGGGCGGAGTTGCGTCGAGACGAGCATTGTACGCGCTACGTGAGTACATTGTGTGGACTGGGCAGCCATGACGACGGCCGCCCCTACTTCCCCGAGCACGATATACTCGTTAATATCGACGCAGAACTCGATGTAGAAGATATCGGTCTGGTGAGTTACTCAGAGATAAACTAGCTGTTGCTCGCGAATTCGTCCTCGTGATATAAAAGATATATCCTACGTTACTTACAGATAATTTACCTTTCTAATCTATATTATTATAATAAAGCGTAAACACACACTTCTTTGTTGTCTAAGATGTCAGCATTTACACCATATTTTTGAATAATTCTTCTTTTAATAAAAAGCCCTACACTTACGTTACGCTTTAGGCTATATATTTTCACACCATTAAACTTAGAGGGTAAATATTTTGGATAAAAACCCTAATGTGGGAAAGAGACCATAAGTTGCTGCCAACATCAAAAAAGCAAGATTGCTATGGTTTGACATCATGTCAATTTGACAATTGTGAACAATAAAATGAAATTTTTATAATTTCATGCGGATGAAGTCGCATGAGAACAGCTAGTGGTGAAATAATTTCTGAAATGCACCCAGTAGTCTTTAAATTATTTCAATACATACAAAAATGTAATTATACTAATATTACCTCTTTATTTTTTATTAATTATTAAAGTAACATAGTATGTGGTCTGTGTTTTTCCAGACTATTCTCTATATTTATATTCTATGTTATATACTTTTAACAAACATCCAATCAGCCTTCTAAATTGTTATTTTTATAATATCAGTAAGATTTGAAACTAAATTCTTGTTTAGTCAACTAAGTTAACTTATTTAGTTTAGAGATGAGAACAGAGATTATATATTTGAATGTTTTTTAAATAGAAGTGTGTAATGTAGATAAACCACGTGCGACACCTGATGGACTACATGATGTTCTGCAGCGAGGGGCAGGACACGCCCGCGGCTGACGACGAGTTCCATCCTAAGGTGCCAAAGTTCATACGCGAGGATATCATGAAGTGAGTACGATACGGTACATCTTAATCTTAAAGTAAGGGTTTTTTTCATTTTATATCTATATTATCAACAGTACATTTTTTATTAAGTGGGTTATAGATATATACTATTCTGCATACTTCAATATTTATTAATAACGCAAAAAAATATATACAGTAAAACCTCGATAACTTAAAAATCTATGTAATGTTAGGAATAAAATTAGTACCGTGCTATAGAATTGGCGCAACTCTAGATTATCGGCATAAACGGCACGTCCCTAGCTGACAGCTGTCAATGTCACTAGAAGTATGGATAGATTGGCGCGTAACAACTTACTTCTCGTCAAGACTCAAGAGTCTTGACGAGAAGTATTGCTCTGAGTTAAAAGCGACAGTATCAATTAAATAAGTTGTCTAATAGTAATTTCAAAAAATATGTTCCCTTCCTATCAGAGTCCAAAACCTCTATAACATTGACCTTTGATAACTTAAAACCTCTATATCTTAAAATATTTTGTATTTCCCGTGGACTTTAACTAATCGAGGTTCTACTGTATAAGTAAATATCACCTAAAATGGCGCTTAAAACAAATAGCCTTTCGCCCTTCGATATTTATATGTTGTTATAAATTTCCATACAAGTGAATTTTTAAAAAATAGTAGTCGTGCGGTAATATGAGCAATAATGGTGAACTACTTTAAAACAAATACACAAAGGCAACTACGTATAAGATATCGAATGTTCCGTGGTGACGACTAGGAATGTACTGTGCTACTGAGTTGAGCGACTAAAGGATTGAGGTACTGAGGCCTAGAGAGCTCGTTAGCGACTTAGAGACTGAGGGTGGCCTCATTCCTTGCAAAGACTTTAAGTATCCCCCACTACTAGTTCCGTTTGTAATATTGAGTAACAATACATATAATGTGTGGGCAGACTGCTGCGCAAGCGGCGGCGGCACCGCGCGGCGTGCTGCGTGGCGAACGCGTGGCGCTGGCGGTCGGCGGAAGAGAGCGAGCTGCTGGAGATCAGCGTGCCCGGCATGGCGGAGCGCGCGCTGCTGTACGCGCTGCACCGCCCGCTGGAGCTGCGCGCGCCGCCCCGCGCCGCGCTGCTGCGGCTGCGCGCCGCCAACCTCGCGCTGCACCACATGCTCGCCAGGTCCGCACCACACACAATACTCTGCCAATACAAACACATACAACGTAATTGCAGGTCTAGACACCCCTAACTTGTTCTAGCGTAAGTTATGTGTTAAGGTTATGGTCAAATGGGTATTGAGAGTCTAAACCCTGGGGCATTTTTTTTTATTTTATGTTCATCTATCGTTCTATGCTATTATAATAAAGCGTAAACACACACTTCTTTGTTGTCTAAGATGTCAGCAATTACATCATATTTTTCAATAATTCTTTTTTTAATAAAAAGCCCTACATTTACGTAACGCTTTAGGCTATATAATTTCACGCCATTAAATTTAGGGGGTAAATATTTTGGATAAAAACATCAAGAAAGTAAATTGCTAAGGTTTGTCATGTCATGTCATTTTGACATTTGCTATTGATAATTTGACAAATGTTAACAACAAAATAAAATTTTCATAATTTCATGCGGACGAAGCCGCACGGGAACAGCTAGTTAGTTATAACGAAAGTATGATTGTGTGTGAAATTCCACCAAAACAGTTTTAACGAACCTAAACCCGTTTAAGTGGAGTTTAATGTAACGAATAAATGAGATTTCTTACCCTACAAATATTAAAATGGGCTATATTGTTACAATATATCTTTTTATCAACTTAAAATTTTAATATTTTTCCAATTAATTATTGTGTACGTCAAGATTATGAAGCACAAATGTAATCCTTCGAAAAAAATCTAACTGAAATAAATGACCAACAGGACATCATCGTCGTCTAACCAGGAGTTGACGTGCGAGCTGTGCAACACGGGCCCGCTGCCCGCCGCCGCCATGCGCATACACATCTACTCCAACATGCACCACGACAAGGAGGAGGAACTCCAAGACCTCACACCTTGAACACACACACGCACACCTCACACCTTCCACCTCCCACCTACTATCTCCCATCTACCTCCTCGCCTACTTATATTCGAATTCAATTCAAGTGAAAAATTAAAACAAACCTGACTTAACAACTGTATAACTAAAAAATGTATTCAAAATGATCATCTTAGTGTAAAAGCACAGAAATGTTCTTATATATCCCTAGACAAATGACATTGCCAGTGAAATGTGTAAATATAAAATCATTTTTATTGAATTCGACTATACCTTTCATCTATTCAACTCTCATATGTAAATTCTCAAAATACTTGATTATAATTAGTAGAAATACCAACGTATAACAAGAGTTAATTATGCCATATATAAGTTATTTCACTTTGTTTTGTTTAAAAATGTGAAAATAGTATTAATATCTTAAAATGTTTTAAACTCTTTTGTTTTTACCAAAAATGATATCTAATATCTATGGTAAAATGTTTGTATGTACGTATATATGTTGTGATGTAACATTAAATCTAGGAGTTATTTTTCTATAACCCTTAAATTCGTTAATTTCTAGAATATCTCACTTAAGTAGATTATTTTATGATCTCCTATACTAACATATGATTAGTAGCAGAAATATTATAAGATAAGTCCCCTTTTGACCGATATTAATGAAACTAAATAGATATGTGTTAAATTGTCCAATCCATGGTCCTTCGAGTCGGATACGACAGACTTCATTCTCTATTTCCGTATAACTAGTATTTAGTACTAAGTTTTTTTGTGTGTCGCCATTGTTTATGTGTTATAATAACTCAAAAGAATTATTATTTATAGGTATAAATTGTATCGGGTAGTTTTTATAATCATTCTCAATTGATTTCCACTGATTCAAACTTACTAGTGTAAGGACAGGTAATTATAATCGGCGAAATATGAATTTCCAAACATTTTAATTTACAATTTAATTGCAAATAATAACGAAATGTCACTTTTGACCCCAACTTGACTAGTGACTTTCATATTAAAATGTTGCCATTATAAAAACATAAAACCTCTGCGAGAATATGTTTTTGCACTTTTCACCCTATTGACTATAACTAATACGATAACAGGCGACATGACAACTACATACCCTAAATATTTACCAGTTCATATGTGATTATGTTTTTTAATTATAACTATCTTTATAATAAGGATATGTATAATTGTAGTGTTAATGTTTAATTAGGAAAAAATATCTAGAATTAATATTAATGTTACAAAAATTTTGGACATTTCTAGTTATAAAATTGTTGATTATCTGTTCTTTTTTCATTTTGTTTGATAAATATTGAATAAAAGTTTATTCGTTTCAATAAACGGCGTTTTAAATCAACTTTCTCATCTTACTAATATATTTTTTCGATAAGTTTGTACGTCTCATGGCAGTCGGCAGATTAGGTCTAAGCATAAACAGGTAATATTCGAAGTTGTTTATACTTTTTTGACAATCTAGAGGGAGGGGAAGGCAGGTGCCTCTCAGCCCCCCCCTTTTTTATTTATCTCGCTGGGAAAATGCATTTACGCATCCCCCCCCC